CGTTTATAAAGGAAAATTTTTTGAGGAAATCGACAGTTCTTATTTCGTGCACCTCAGCTCTTCACATCATGAAGTCCACCGCCTTGACCCCTTATATTGGTGCAACAACAAAGGATCAGAAGATGAGCCTTGTTGGTGTGGTGCTTGTCCATGTAAGGAATCCATCACATCCTATTATTTTTGCAATGAATGTAACTTATCCTACCACAAAGAATGCGTTGAGTCTCCAGCTCTAATCAAATCTCATCTTCACCCTAAACATGATCTCCAACTTATAGCGCATGGTGATCCTCCTTTAAGCAATTGTAAGATATGTTCTTGTTCTTACTGTGGATCAAACTGCGGAGGTAATCCCGCAACGTTATTATTTTACTACTGTTTCATTTGTGAGTTTAGTTTAGATCCCGTATGCGCAAGAAGACCCACATTCCTAAACTATCAAAAAAGGCATGAGCATACTCTCAACCACTTTCCCAGAATAACTGATCTAACATGTGACGTTTGTGGGTTAGCAGATAACAAAATTCTCATCTACCTTTGTGTTCAATGTGGTTTCGTTGTACATACAATATGTATATATTTACCGTTTGTCATAAGAATATCCCGACATGACCATCATCTCTCTTTTACATATTCTACTTCTAGAATATTGTATTGTGGAGTTTGTCGTCAAATGGTTAAAAAAGATTATGGGAAATATTGTTGCACGGAAAATTGTAGTTACGTAGTGCATTCCAAGTGTGCAATTCGGAAAGATGTGTGGGATGGAAAAGAGCTCGAGAAAGTACCAGAAGAAGAAGAAGAGGAAGCATATGAAAATCTTAATTTTTTCCAAGTGATAGGTGATGGAATTATACAACATTTCAGCCATTCACATCATCACATGAGGTTAGAAAAAATGTACGATGAATATAAGCGATGTCACGCATGCGTACTTCCATTTTATGGTGGTGGTGAAGTTTACAACTGTATGGACTCCAATTGTGATTTTGTACTTCATGAAGTATGTGCAAATCTTCCTCGGACGAAATATCATATGGCACATCCCTATCCATTTATTCTACAAGTGAGTGACAACAAAAATTGTTTCTATTGTGAATACTGCCATCGTTTTTCGTATGGTTTCAGATATGTGTGTGAGTCTATAAGTTTAGACGTGCGATGTGCTGCAATATCTGAGCCATTCAACCATCAATCTTACCCACATCCTTTGTTCCTAAGCAATGAATTTGGAAAATATAGATCATGTTCAATGTGCAAAAAAGATGGTTCTATAACTTTGAACAGTCAATATGACTTCTCATTGTGCTTCTACTGTGCAACACTCCCATATAAAGTGAGATATGAGCATGCCGAACATTTTCTCACCCTTTCTTATGCAAAGGAATCAGAACTTGATTTGGGTTATCAGGATTGGTGTGAGGTCTGTGAGAAAACTATAGACGAATGGATTTATACATGCACTGAATGTGTGATCACATTCCATATTGCATGTTTGCTAGGGAAATGTGCATTTTATGTCAATCCTGCTCAGAATCGCTTGCTAGATGGTAAAAAGATTAATATAATTATGAGCAATGGTTTTACTCGACCCATCTGCAGTAAATGTAAAAGGCGGTGCAGTGATAAATTAATGCTGCTCTGTGAAGATAACGAAGTAGTATTTTGTTATCGTCATTGGGAAGTGTATGATATTTAGGGTGAGGAATTCGAGTGCTGGTAGCGGAGAGGAAGGAACCAAATTTACATGTTCTGGTTGGTATCCAAGGATTAATTCCTTGTTACAGCGAATAAAAAAAGAAAGAGGAGATTGGGTATTGTGTGTTCTTTTTAAGAGTCTACATTAATGTACTTTGTATAATATTTTATCTTTTACTCATAATAACAATTTTTCCGTTCTGCTAATATAGATGCTTTAGAAAAAAAATATTACACAAGAATAGATTTCATGAGTTCCTTACAGCATCTTCAATGGTGATACTTTATTGGAGTCCTCAGAAAAAATATTTTGTTAATTTTTTAATTATTACTTTTTCCTTTTTAAGATAAAAAAAAGATACCTACCATATTTAAGAAGTGATTTTAAAATTTTATTTATGTGTCATGTATACAATCATCTAAATTCTTAAAACATGAATATAAATTTGAAATAACCCTAATTTTTTCTAAAAAAATTACTATCTCATGTCACTCATGCCACTCACACAATCTTAACTATGAAACTAATCTTAACCGTAAAATTAAACTAAAATAAATACCAAAATAGCTCCAATTCAAGTTTTTGTCCCGAAACGCATCCAAGGTCAAAAGTCACAAAAATAGGTTTTATTACAGAAATGATTAACTATTATGCCCCTTCTTTGACTAATTAAAAAAATAATAGATTAATTGATAATTTATCTTTATGCCACTTTTTTGACTAATTTACTGAAACCCTAAACCATGAAACTATAATTCTAAACCTTAAACCCTGAAACTTCCACTCTAAACCCTGAAATATCAATTCTAGAACCTTAAACCTTGAAACTTCAAATTTAAACCATAAACCTTAAAACATCAATTCTAAACCCAAATCACTGAAACTTCAACTCTAAACCCTAACCCTGAAACTTCAACTCTAATCTCTAAACCTTGAAAATCAACTCTAAAACCCTAATTCCTGAAACTTCAACTCTAAACCCTAAACCATCAAAGATCAATTCTCAAACCCTAAAACCTGAAATTTCAACTCTAAATCCTGAAACATCAACTCTAAAACCTTAAACCCTGAAACTTCAAATCTAAACCCTAAATCCTGAAATATCAACTCTAAAACCATAAACCCTAATGTTTTACTTTAAACTCCTGAAACATCAACTCTAAGAAACTCTAACTCTAAAACTTCAACTCTAATCCCTAAACTCTGAAATATCAACTCTAAAACCCTAAACCCTAAAAATTCAACTCTAAACCCTAAACCCTGAAACATCAACTTTAAAATTCTAAAACCTGAAACTTCGACTCTAAACCCTGAAACATCAACTCTAAAACCTTAAACTCTGAAACTTTAAATCTAAACCCTAAATCCTGAAACATCAACTCTAAAACCATAAACTCTGATGTTTTACTTCCAAACCCCTGAAACATCAACACTACAACCCTAAAACTTCATCTGTAATCCCTAAACTCTGAAATATCAACTCTAAAACCCTAAACCCTGAAACTTCAACTCTAAACCCTACACCCTGAAACATCAACTCTAAAACCCTAAAATCTGAAACTTCAACTCTAAACCCTCAAACATCAACTCTAAAACCTTAAACCCTGAAACTTCAAATCTGAACCCTAAATCCTGAAACATTAACTCTAAAACCCTAAACCCTGATGTTTTACCTCTAAACCACTGAAACATTAACTCTAAAACCCTAAACCCTGAAACTTTAACTCTAAACCCTGAAACATCAACTCTAAAACCTTAAATCATGTAACTTCAACTCTAAACCCTAAAACAATAACTCTAAAACCTTAAACCCTGAAACTTCAACTCTAAACCGTGAAACATCAACTCTAAAACCCTAAACCCTGAAACTTCAACTCTAAACTATAAACCCTGAAAAACCAACTTTAAAACCCTAAACTTTGAAACTTCAACTCTAAACCTTGAAACTCCAACTCTAAACCTTAAAACTTCAACTCTAAACCTTAAAACTTCAACTCTAAACCCTAAACCCTGAAAATCCAACTCTAAGCCCTGAAACTTCATCTCTAAACCCTGGAACATCATTTCTAGAACCATAAATCTTGAAACTTCAAGTTTAAACCCTAAACACTAAAAAACAATTCTAAACCCTGAAACTTCAACTCTAAACCCTAACCCTGAAATTTCAACTCTAAACCCTACACCTTGAAACTTCATCTATGAACTCTAAATCCTGAAACATTAAATCTCGAACCCTAAATCTTCAAACTTCAACTTTAAACCCTAAACCCTGAAACTTCAACTCTAAACTCTGAAATATCAATTCTAGAACCCTAAACCCTAAACCTTGAAACTCAACTCTAAACTATGAACCCTGAAATTTCAACTAAATATATTAATCTTCAGGATAATGTATCATAAAACTTGAAAAGCATTGAGCGTGTTCAAGATGGACTTCCTGATAATATATTAATCTTCAGGATAATGTATTATAAAATTTGGAAAGCCTTGAGCGTGTTCATGATGGGCTTCCGGATAATATATTAATCTTCAAGATAATGTATTATAAATCTTGGAAAGCCTTGAGCATGTTCAGGATGGGCTTCCTGATAATATATTAATCTTTAAGATAGGATTTAAGGTTTAAGATTTAGAGTTTAGGGTTGGAGTTGATGTATTAGGGTTTAAGGGTTTAGAGTTCAGTATATTAATCTTCAGGATAATGTATTCTAAAATTTGGAAATCCTTGAGCGTGTTCAGGATGGATTTCTGGATTGAAGATAATGTATTATAAAATTTGGAAAGCCATGAGCGTGTTCAGGATGGGCTTCCAGATAATATATTAATCTTCAGGATAGAGTTTAATTTTTAAGGTTTAGAGTTTAGGGTTTATAGTTGATGTTTTAGGGTTTATGGCTTAAAGTTCATGTTTTAGGGGTTTGGGTTTAGGCTTTAAAGTGTAAGTTTTAGAGTTTCGAGTTTATTGTTTAGAGTTGATGTTTTAGGTTTAGAGTTTAGTATATTAATCTTCATGATAATGTATTCTAAATTTTGGAAAGCCTTGAGCATGTTCAGTATGAGCCTTGGGTTTAGGGTTGATTTTTTTAAGGTTTAGGGTTTAAGTTTAGAGTTTAGGGTTGAAGGTTTCGGTTTTAGGATTTAAGGTAAATTTTTTAGGGTTTAGGCTTTAAAGTGTAAGGTTTAGTGTTTAGGATTTAGAGTTGATGTCTTAGGGTTTAGGATAATGGAAAGCCTTGAGCGTATTCATGATGGGTTTCCGGATTGAAGAAAATGTATTGTAAAATTTGGAAAGCCATGAATGCGTTCAGATTGGCTTCTAGATAATATATTAATCTTCAGGATATATTTTAAGGTTTAAGGTTTAAGGTTTAGAGTTTATGGTTTAGAGTTGATGTTTTAGGGTATATGGCTTAAAGTTCATGTTTTAAGGGTTGGGGTTTAAAGTTGATATTTTGTAGGGTTTAGGGTTTAGGTTAGAGTTTAGGGTTGAAGGTTCAGGATTTAGGATATAAGGTAATTTTTTTAAGGTTTAGGGTTTAGGGTTTAAGGTTTAGAATTGTGGTTTAGTGTTTAGGTTTTAGGGTTTTGAGTTTATTTTTATGGTTTAGGGTTTAGTGTTGATAGAAAGGTTTAGAGTTGATGTTTTAGGGTTTAGGGTTTATAATTGAGGTTTAGAATTTAGGGTTAATGTTTTAGGGTTTAGATTTGAATGTTTAGTGTTTAAAGTTATAATTGTGATTTATGGCTTAGGTTTTAGGGTTTAGAGTTCATTTCTAGGGTTTAGGGATTAGGGTTTAAGCTTTAGGGTTTACAATTGATGTTTAGCATTTAAAGTAATTTTTTAATTTTAAAGATTGAGAATTATTTTAGGGTTTAGGGTTCAGAGTTGATTGTTTAGGATTTAGAAAGTTTTAGGGTTTATGATTGATGTTTTCGGGTTTAAGGTTGAAGGTAGAGAGTTAGTATTTTTAGGGTTTAGTATTGATAGTAATATTTAGAAATTAGTATTAATTTAAAAAAAAAAAGAATATTAGAGACATTTTGTTCATTAATGAATGTCATTTTTGTGACTTTTCATTTCTAGTGCTATTTTGGAGACAAAAACTCCAGAAGTGCTATTTTGATCAATTACCCAATTAAATCTCTGCGAAGTCATCATTAGATATTGGTAAAAGTCTATTAACAATATGATAATCGACTATAATTATATGGGCCAAAATATGGTTATATCTATTATATAATAAAGCACAAATCACTTGATAAATCAAATGTTGTCATGTCATTTATATTTTTTAAAAAATCAGTTAAAACAAAATAATGGTTAGGAAAAAACTGTAGCAACCATTTCATTAGCCCACGATCATAACCCACGACTCTCTTTTTTCTTTGCAAACTTTTATTTTCTCTAATCGTACATATATATAAAATTTCAAAGACATGTTGCTGTGAAACTCTCAATTTTAGGGTGAGTATCTACTCAGGTCAGAGGTGTACAAGTGTAAACGCTTCATTAACAGGTCTTATCAGTAGGTCATTCCTTCCTTCACCAACACTTTTGATGTAATTTGTTCAATCCTTCCTTTGAGACCAGATTGTTTTGTTTTTGTTGTTTGATTTATAATAAAAGAAGCATTTGTTGTTGTGAGAGAGAGGCTTCAGAGGAGGAACAACTTTTGATGAAAGGTAAAAGAGCTTCTACTAAATCACCATCGAAAGGATAGATTGTTTAATTGTTTTCCTATTGGACAAAAACTTTTACAGGAAAATGTAAACTTAAATGCCCTTTTTCAAAAAAAAAAGAGAGAAAAAATGTAAACTTAACACTTTTGAAATAACACGTTGAATATATTAATATTGAATGAATAAGACAAAAATCCATACACTGCAGGTTAATAGTTAGGAGAAAACACAAGATAAACAAGACAAAAGATGTAAAACGTAAAAGCTTCAAACTAATATATTTATCCGATTGTTTGAGGCTTTGAAGACTTTAACTATTAAGGCTTTTGATTTTAATTTGACTGTTAAGACTTTTACTATTAAAAAATTAAATATAGTTTTAGAAATATTAAAAATCATGAGATTGTGGGGGTGATTGGTGGTTGCTGTAGGTGTTGTCCATAGCCTTATTTATTTTTACAGCACTAAATTCAGAAAAATCAAACTTTTAAATTTGTTTTGGAATCA